CCTAGTGAATTTGTCTTGATGACTCTTGATCCACCTGACTGGCTGCTTCACTGTCGATTTCTTTCTCTTCAGATTTAGCAGAATCTGAAACCTCATCAACCATTGCCTTGACTGATGCTGCCATTCCTGAGCTTTCATCTTGAAGGTGAGTAAATAGCTGCTGTAAGCTTCAGATCCCATCTATTTTGTCCTTCAGTTCTAAATCTTCTGGGGTCTAAACCAACTTCTGCAGAACCACTATGCTGCATGTTGCCAAAGGTTGTCCATTTTAGTTGTTCGCTTTTCATTTTCCTGCTCAGTCATGATGATTTCCTCTAGCATCTGGATTTTCTATTCAGCCGCCACTGCTTAGTTCCTAACTTAACTTTCCAATTTCTTCTTCCAAGGTTTGAGTTTATGTCATTAAGGGAATGAAGGTTTTCAAATGACTCCACATATGTCAAGCAACATCCTTTTGTGAGCTTGCAGCAACAAAACCTGCAGACATTGCAAAGAACTTGTGGATATATATTGATAGTTGGCTTATTCTTAATCTTTCTGGCTGTGTCTGCATATCCTAAAGCAGAACTATATTCACCTCCACTCTACTGAAACTAAGCCCTTTAGTAAAAAATCTAAACCATATAATGAAAAGCGTCTCACACTAACGCATACTCCTGACATGTGTACAAGTTCTAATACATATAACATACAGTGCCACACTTTCTTTTAATATGTGATTGCTGATAAATTAAACAACAGTGAGGTGAAAAAAATGAACATATGTGAAAACAGTGAACATATGTGGAAAAATTTATTTAAATATAATGTTTTTCTCCAACTTGAAAACAACTTCACAATTTCATATCTTCATGCAATGTTAATCCTCCACCACAAACACCAGATGTGCCCTCACCTGGAGTTTTTGACCTCACTGTGTAGTTTGGTCAAAAAACGCTTTTGTCCTTTGAAATGGACATAAATTGGCAGGTGTATCCTGGAATTTAACTCGTTCTCCAAAGATCACCGATCCCTTTACTGCTTCCTCCTCCACTCAGCATAAATGTCAAAAAACGATTAAAACACAATAGTGCTTATTCCTTTAAAACATATTACTTTACTAAAATCATAGAACAGTGGCCACTCACATGGTATGGGTGCTAAATCGCACCAAATGTATGCACATTTGTAATCCCGCAATCCTTGTATATGTAAGCAAAGGAAACTCCACTCATCAGATGTAACAGTGTTGTTGTAACGATGAATAGCGATCGTCCTGACGTTATCAAGCCCCTCCCCTACGCATTGCACAACAGGGTCATGTGGCTTCCTCGGGCATATGTCCACCTCCACTCTATTGCTGTGATGTCCTGGAACGTGCTCACCAGCTGCTGAGAACTTTGGCTTGTCTTCTCCTGGGTTCAGTCTTTGGCCTTTTGATTGAGGATGATGAGTTCAAGATGTCATCTATAATCTAAACCAGGGCTTGAAAAATCCGCTTGCCCGCTCGCCAAATGTGAGGGGAAATCCTTGTGTGGTGAGCACAGATGGAGCGGCTCCACCTGCGCTCCAAGCCTCATTGTGAAGCCAAGTTCCAGTTTCCAACTTCCGGCTTCTTCTTCGGCATTGCCATTACACTGGCAGCACCGCTGAGGGGACAAGTACAGGAGAGGTCCGCTCTCCTCCGCTGAGAGGAGACACCCACTCTCCAGCACCACGGGGGACTCGAGGAGAGATCCACTCTCCCCCGTCGCGGGAGACACGAGACATATTATTATGTCTCTTTTATGTATAATTATATCTAACTATATAGAAGGATATAAAAGAAACATAATATTATATATTTATCTAATTATATATAAAAGAGACATAATATCATACCTAATATATAATTATATACAAGGATATAAAAGAAACATTATATTATATATAATTCTGTAACCTAAACTTACATCTTTTAAAAGAGACTTTAGTTACTATAGTCTCTTTTTAGATGAAGGAGATAAACAAAAAAAAATACAAAATGTTTACTACAGGTTTAAAGCTGTAAAACTTGATATTTTGATTGCACCCTATTGCTATTAAGCTATTGCTGTTATGTTTAAATTGACATAATAAAGCTATGTTATAATTGCAGTTTTTTATATTTTGGACTCTTTATTCTAAAGAAAAATGTAATTTCATAAGCTTTAAGGGGGCGTGGTTGGGAGCAGGGCTGGGGGTGGGGTTGGGGGTGGACCTGGGCAAGGTTGGGTGGGGTAACTGGTGGAGAGTAAGGTTGGTGCCTGGCTAGTAGGCCTAGACTCAAAATTTTAAGCCCTGATCTAAACCAGTGCAAAATGTGTGAGCATGAAAGGTTGACAGGAGCATGTACCGTGCCTGTGCCATCACAGCTGCTGGTATCATTCCAGTATTCTAGTTTTGGCTATGATACATTCTCCCTGTCTGTCCACCTGCAAGATGATTGCTGTGTCCAGTCTCTGGGTGGAGAACAAACCTGATTTAAGCCAGCCAAGCCTGCATTCTCATGCTTGTGATACTGCATTTATAACACATGCTTCAAGCTCCCTATTGTTTTCCCTGCCCGTTAGTCTGGACTTTTTTTGTTGATGACCTCAGATATCAACTACTCTCTGAACTCTGTACAGCTAATGCTAATTCTTTTAGAGCTCATGCTAATTCTTCTTCAGTTAATGCTAACTCTCATGCACTGACACGTCGGCGCATTTCTGTGCGCCAGCACGCATCGGTATGCATGTCTTTGCGCATTGGCTGCCTATTAAGGAGATTCTGCTGTGTACTAATCACTGGATGTCCTTCAGCTTCCTGTGATCCATGTTCCTGTGTTCCTGTTTGTGCTGACTGATCTTCCATTGCTAACCAGGCTTGTTCTTGACCTTTCTCTGTGAATTCTGGATTCTGACCTTGGTTTGCCTTAGACTACTCTCTGCCGGATCTCCTAGTGCTGACCTGGGCTTGCCTCTGACTATTCTCTCCCTGATCTCCTGGTGTTGACCCCAGCCTGCTACTGCACCTCGCTCTGCTTGCTAACCTTGTACCGACCCCAGCCTGCCTCCTAACCATGCTGCTGTCTCATTGTGTATGACCCTGGCTTACCTCGACTACGTCTCAACCATGACAGTCACCTGCTATCAAGCTACCGACACCTGTGGCTCTTTGAGCCTTGTACATCTGTTACCACATTCAGGGGTGCTAAAACCAGAGCCACAAGGGAAGCCCTCTCGTCAAATCGGCCTCCAACTACAGTATGTGACAGCTTGCCTTTTGAACACGGATTTGATCCTGGCTATCCTGAATCTTGCCTGCCTTGTACCTAGCCTGTCATTGAACCACTTTGCTTGTTTGCCAACCGCAAATGCCTGTTTGCTGTGCTCAGTTCACGCCTGCCCTGGCACTATAGCCATGTGTATAAGTACCAGTAGGCCTGCTTACCCTATGGGAAAGGGGGCTGCTATAGTTGAAGAACACAGAATCCAGCAATAGTGCCTGATCACCTGTGTTAGAGGAAAAAGTGACAAAGGTGTACCTCTCACCAGCCCAAAACGAGAATTGTCACGTTGCACATACAGCACCAATTGCAACCGCAGAAATCTGCATTAAAAAAATATAAAAAATAAATGATTACATTGCAAAACAAATTCTAGAATTTCCAGGAAAAACGTACGCTGACAATTGGGTTCCTGAGACTCTATGTTCCAAAAATATTTAAATGTTTCTAGTGATAATGGATGTGAAATATTGGAATAAAGAAAGATTCGACATCACCGTGAATGATTTTGTTGGTATATTTGTATTTTCTAATTGTTAAAGTAGATGCATTGCGTTGTGTAAATAGAAATATCAACTCAGAGCAAATCAATAAAAGTACAACCTTTTTATAATAAACTCCCGAGCCCAGACATAATAGGTCGTTCTGGGAATTTGCAACTGTTGTTTGGGAATTTTGTTATGTATTTGACTAATCATAATGGATGGATGGCTACTAATATGACAGCTATTGGTAGCATCAGGGCACAGCAATAAACCAATATTTATGAAGTATATTCTGCAAGTGTTTCTACTGACGATAATTTCTTGTAAATTGTGGTTTAAATATTACCATTATGTATTTTGTGTAAGCACAAATCCAAGAATTCTGCATCTATAGTAGGAAGATGTTATGTGATTGGTCACAGCAGGTCACATGGTACCAGCAACGGGAGCCGGTACTCGGATCTGTCATCGGCCGTGTCCGAGGTGCACGGCTGGTGACAGATCGCACTGCTGCGCCGCTCTGCATTAGCGCAAACGGCGCATGTGCGGGAGCACGCCAAATGGCGTGCACCCGGAATGCAGAGACACATCTGAAGCCGCCAAACGGCCATTGGCCGGGCGGCTAATGGTTAAACACACATGAACTTTACTGGCATCGCAGTCTTAGTCAGTAGGGTTCAATATTTACTTGGCCCACCTTTTGCAGCTATAACAGCTTCAACTCTTCTGGGAAGACTGTCCACAAGGTTTAGGAGTGTGTCTATGGGAATGTTTGACCATTCTTCCACATTTGTGAGGTCAGGCACAAGAAAGCCTGGCTCACAGTCTCCGCTCTAATTTATCCCAAAAGTGTTCTACCGGGTTAAGGTCCTCCACCCCAAACTCACTCATCCATGTCTTTATGGACCTTGCTTTGTGCACTGGCGCGCAGTCATGTTGGAACAGGAAGGAGCCATCCCCAAAGTTGGGAGCACAAAATTTTCCAAAAATGTCTTGGTCTGCTAACACCTTAAGAGTCTTGGTCTGCTGACACCTTAAGAGTTCCCTACACTGGAACTAAGGGGCCAAGCCCAACCCCTGAAAAACATCCCCACACCATAATCCCCCCTCCACCAAACTTTACATTAGGCATAATGCAGACAGGCAAGTACCGTTCTCCTGGCAACCGCCAAACCCAGACACATCCATCGGATTTCCAGACAGAGAAGCGTGATTTGTCACTCCAGAGAACACATCTCCACTGCTTTAGAGTCCATTGGTTTAACACCACTGCATCTGATGCCTTGCATTGCACTTGGTGATTTAAGGCGTGCAGCTGCTCGGCCATGGAAATCCATTCCATGACGCTCTCTATGCAGTGTTGTGCTAATTTGAAGGTCACACCAAGTTTGGAGGTCTTTAGCTATTGACTTTGCAGACAGTTGGCAACTTCTGCACACTGTGTGCTTCAGCGTGCGCTGACTCCGCTCTGTCATTTCACGTGGCCTACCACTTCGTGTTGTTCCCAGTTGCTTCCACTTTGTTATAATACCACTAACAGTTGATCATGGAATATTTAGTAACCAGGAAATTTCATGGATGGACTTATTGCACAGGTGGCAACCTATCACAGTACCACTCTTGAATTCACTGAGCTCCTGAGAGCGACCCATTCTTTCACAAATGTTTGTAGAAGCAGTCTGCATGCCTAGGTGCTTGATTTTATACACTTGTGGCCATGGAGGTGATTGGAACACCTGAATCTAATAACAGGGATGTTCGATTCCTATTGCCCGACACCAGGGACATGTTTTTTCTGGGCGTCAGGCAGCTACTTTTTTTTCTACCTTTAACCCTGCTGCATGCAAGCAGTGGGCTCACCTGTCAGAAGCATTTGGGTGGCAGACAAATGCCCAAGACATTCCTAATATCACCTCCGATTTAAATACAGTTTTGGTTAAAATGTTTTTTTTTTTTTTTTATATCTGTAGATTGTCATGAGGTACAAGTAGATTGGGGTCCAATTTAGTCCATGGACAAGTAGTTTTTTCAAAAATTTCCACACCGCTGAATGATTTGGAGTGGTGTGACAATACTTTTGACAATATAGTGTACATTGCAGGAATTTTAACAAACTTTGTTGCATATTCCTACCACTAGTTACTCTGAAGAAATAAGAGTTTGTTTGTCTGTGTCCATGTGCAGAGCGAATCTGTAAGGCAGTGTTTTTCATAATTATCTATCAGCTGCAGGGACCTAATGAGGAAATTGGCAATAGCCTGCATTCCTTTAGACTTGATTTCCCTTTGGGAGTATCTCACCAAAAATTGACATTCTTGTTGCAGGGGATGCCAAACATCTGATTTATATCTTAGTGTAGACTTCTGGAAAAATCTTAGATTGTAAGCTTCAAGGAGCAGGGCCCTCCTAACCCTCTTGTATTGAACTGTATCGTTGCTGTATTGTCTCCCTTTATATTGTAAAGCGCTGAGAAAACTGTTGGCGCTATATAAATCCTGTATAATAATAATCAGTAAGCCAATCAAACAAGCAGGAAATTACATTTTCCAGGGGCGTTCTGTACACCAATATTGCATATTGCAGAAAATGACAGTGCTGCAGATTGAAAAGAAAAGGTAATTTTTAATAACAGTCAATTACAATATGGCTTGAGTTGCAATTGTATATGCTGTATATTTTGCCTGTCTAATGCATTCAAATCAGACAATATTACGTTTTGTAGTCCTGCCACAGATTTTTAAAAAATTAGTTTTCTGCAAAAAGATATAGATCTTAATGAATGTGAATTTGTCAAGACTGTTAGTAGTTGTTTCCGTTAAATGATGTTCCATCAGGTTAATGATAGTTAACCATTTTTGTTTTAGTTGTTCTGCTTGCCCTTTATCCAATTTATTCAATTCCCTGTTTGGTATAACAGACATTTCTGGAATCCTTTTTTTTTCTAGTGCTGTTTTTGTGGCCTTCCTTCCCGATTTTTGAACATTTTCTAAGACTCAATTCTCACTTCTGTTTTTAAAATCTTCCAAAACTTCCCAAGCAGAAAAAAATCTGTCCTCTCAGACCCCAGGGCTAGATTTTGTATTTCAAATACATTTCCAGTTTGTGTATATTCCATGACACCTTAGAGTATTAATGTCTAGATCACGTAATTGGTTACAAGTATCTTTCACAGGAGCAGGATTGGATTTGTCAACTCTTTCAGATTTTTGAAAGATCATTTGCAGTTTATCCTCCCAGTCAGTGTCTACATCTGACAAAAAAGTCATCAGTCTTTGTGCCACCAGATATACATTATTGTACAGATTCTCAGTCTGGTAATGTTATAATAAATAAATAAACAGGTGAATAAATGGCCAAATTTAAATTTGTGAAAGATCAGTGACATGGTTGTATTTTTGAGGTTTGTGTACGGTCCACGACACATAGCAGTGCTGGGCTGCTCCAATCAAATCTACAAAGCCAGTTTGCAGAGTCAGAAATTTAGAGGGTTGGACAAATCATACCACCCATCAAAATTCAAAACCAATCAAGGGCATAACATATAACCCGCATTGATGAGTGCAGGGCCCGGACAAGGGGGGGCAGAAGGGGAAGCTTCCCCTGGCTGGTATCATGTGTGGTTGGAGGAAGGGCGCCTGCCGTTACAAACTGACATGAGTAGTGACAACAGCATCACTATGCCTGTCAGCTCAGTGCGGGATGTCACTGGCAGAATCCGGAGAGCAAAAGAAAGGGAGGAGGTGCTCTCTCTTCCTTCCAGTTCTTCCTCCTGAGACCTGCTGCTCTCAGATCGGGACTGCGCAGGGTTTGCAAACCTACAAATCCTGATCTGATAGTCAGGTGTCCCCAGCTGCAACCCTGGGGTTTCGGGTGGATTTGTGCTCATGGGGTAATTGGGGGGGGGGGGGATTTGTGCTAGGAGGTGGGATGAGTGCTGGGAGGGGGGATTTGGGGGGAGGGGCTTTGTGCTAGGAAGGGAAATTTTTTTGGGGGGGATTTGTGTTAGGAAGGGGGATTTGAAGGGCAGGATTTGTGCTAGTAGGGATGATTAGGTGGACTTGTGCTGGGGAAGGATTTGCTTGTGGGGGTGTATGGGGGGAAGATTTGTGCTGGGGGAGGGTTTGTGTTTTGAGGGAAACTATGAGGTATAGATAATTTGTGCTAGAATGGGTGATTGGGGGGAGGGGGCATTATACTATGAGGGACGATTTGGGGAGAGAGTAGCAAAGCTGGGTGGGGGCATGGGGGTCAAAAGATTCATGCGGGGAGGGGGGATTTCTGCCAGGAGGGGGATTTGTACTGGGAGAAGGGGGAATTTTTGTTTGTGGAGAATATTGGCTTGCAAAGGGAATATCTGCTTAGGGGGTTCGAGTGCAGAGTAGTGCTTGAGTGCTTGATTTTTTATTTTTTTTTAGGGGGGGGGGGATTTTTGCTGACACCTATTACTCATACAGTGGGGATCGAAAGTTTGGGCACCCCAGCTAAAAATTTGTATTAATGTGCATAAAGAAGCCAAGGAAAGATGGAAAAATCTCCAAAAGGCATCAAATTACAGATTAGACATTCTTATAATATGTCAACAAAAGTTAGATTTTATTTCCATCATTTACACTTTCAAAATAACAGAAAACAAAAAAATGGCGTCTGCAAAAGTTTGGGCACCCTGCAGAGTTAATATCTTGTACTGCCCCCTTTGGCAAGTATCACAGCTTGTAAACGCTTTTTGTAGCCAGCCAAGAGTCTTTCAATTCTTGTTTGAGGTATCTTTGCCCATTCTTCCTTACAAAAGTCTTCCAGTTCTTTGAGATTTCTGGGCTGTCTGTCACGCACTGCTCTCTTAAGGTCTATCCATAGATTTTCAATTATGTTGAGGTCAGGAGATTGTGAAGGCCATGGCGAAACCTTATGTTTACGCCTCTTGATGTAATCTCCCCGTGGATTTCGAGGTTTGTTTAGGATCATTATCCATTTGTAGAAGCCATCCTCTCTTTAACTTCAGCTTTTTCACAGATGGCATCAAGTTACCATCCAAAATTTGCTGAAATTTTATTGAATCCATTTTCCTTCTACTCGTGAGATGTTCCCTGTGCCACTGGCTGCAACACAACCCCAAAACATGATTGATCCAACCCCATGGTTAACAGTTGGACAGAGGTTCTTTTCATTAAATTCTGTGCCCCTTCTTCTCCAAATGTACCTTTGCTCATTTCGGCCAAAAAGTTCAATTTTAACCTCATCGGTCCACAGAACTTGTTTCCAAAATGCATCAGGGTTGTCTATATGTTCATTTGCAAAGTTCAAACTTTGATTTTTGTGGTGAGGACGTAGAAGAGGTTTTCTTCTGATGACTCTTCCATGAAGACCATATTTGTACAAGTATCTCATTATAGTGGAATAGTGTACCACAACTCCAGTGTCTGCCAGATCTTTCTGGAGGGATCGTGCAGTCAAACGTGGGTTTTGAATTGTTTTTCTCACAATCCTGCGAGCTGTTCTGTCTGATATTTTTCTTGGTCTTCCAGATCTTGCTTTAACTTCCACTGTTCCTGATGACTGCCATTTCTTAATTACATTCCGAACAGAGGATATTGACATCTGAAAATGCTTTGCTATCTTCTTATAGCCTTCTCCAGCTTTGTGAGCGTCAACTATTTTCAGTTTCAGTTTTCTAGACAACTGCTTAGAAGAACCCATGGTGCTGATTGTTGGGGCAAGGTCAGATGAGTCTGGGCATTTAAAACCTTTGAGATTGACATCACCTGGTCTTTCCAGACGATGATTGAGAACAATCCATGACACTGGCAGGTCTCAGCTTGGCAAAGGGGGCAGTGCATGCTATAAATTCTGCAGGGTGCCCAAACTTTTGCAGATGCCATTTTTTTGTTTTCTGTTATTTTGAAAGTGCCTTCTGGAGATTTTTCCATCTTTCCTTGGCTTCTTTATGCACATTAATACAAATTTTTAGCTGGGGTGCCCAAACTTTCGATCCCCACTGTACATCTTGAGGAGGGGGGGGGGGGGGCAGTTTGACACTTTAGCCCTGGGCACTAGATTACCTTGTTCCAACACTGGCTGGGTGTGCAAATTTTCCAGTGAAAGTGATTTTTTTTGTCTCGCAAAACAGTACTCTGCAAAACCATGATTGTAGTAGAAAATATACTTTATTAGGGTAACCAGTAGCGCTCTTATATTGGTATTTCTAAAGATAGCTGTGGAAGCAAAATCTTAATACTTAAACAAGCTCAGGACTTTTAGGGACATTTGGATATTTTTAAGAGCCCCTCACTACTTATGAGAACATAAAAATGATTGAAAAGGCATATATATACCTAGTTTGCAATAACAAACATGTTATTCTTAAATAATTCAAACTCTCACACCTACGCTTAGACTCTCAATTCCAGAACTAAAGCAGCTGGCACAATTTGTTGACTAAAAAAAAAAATCCTTTGTCAATAAGTGCATGGCTAAATCTACAACAAATAAAACAAACAGTATACATAACATACAAGTTCAAAAATAGACTAAAGTCAATTAGTGGATATTCAATCCTATATGAGTGAAAATGTATCCATCAAAAGTCCCAGTAGAAGTTATAGAAAATAATAAAATAAACAAGCCAGGAAATTACCCCAAAGTGATCTTCTGTGCAGATATATTCATTTAATAAGCACCAATTATGAGTATCAAAGGCTGTTTACCAGAAGACGTTGACCCTCAAGGACTGAATGGTCTCAATCAACCATCACTGGAACCTTCTACAGTGGATGTCCTGTCATGGCTCCACATCACAAAATCACCAAGGGGGCAGTTTATGGCACTCTCGCATTCAATTTTCAAATGGTAGTGGCGAAGCTAGACATTCTTTCACCCTGGGCAAAGAAAAAAATCCTATTTCAGACTCAGTTTGGCACCCTCCCATCTGAGAGAGACGTTTCCATCAACGCACCCCCAGGGCAACGTGTGAAAAAAATAATAAAAAACGCCGCCCAGAGAGAGAGGTTCAGGTGTCATAAATACCTAAATAAGCCATAGGATGGTAATAATATATATATATTAGTCATTTCAAAGTGTTGGTAATAGTGACTCACTGCACATGT